GGGGAGGGCGGCCCCCAGCCAGGCCGCGCGCCGACGGCCCCGTGCGAGCGGGCCCACCTACCTGAGCGCCAGGAGCCTCTCGCCCAGCAGCGCCAGCGCTATCCCCAGCAAGCTCAGAGCCACCAGCCGCCCCATGGCGCGGGAGCCGGGACCGCCTCGCGAGCGCCGCTCGGGGAGCACGGAGGGCGGCGCCCGCCTCCCCGCTCGGGCCGCGCTCCGCCCCGTCTCCGCCCTCCGCCGGCCCTTGGCCTTTGTCACCACCAGCTTCCCCCGGCCCTCCCCACCCCCCACCCACGGACGCCCTAGTTTAGGTTAAGGGCGTGAAACTTGGACTCCTCCACCTCCTTTCCCAAACGGACGACCCCCTCAAGGCCCTCAAGCAGCCCTCGTACCTTTCTCATCCTAGTCTTCACAGACATCCCTTACTCCATAGGCCGGCAAGAAACTTCTAGATAAAGTTTGAAAGACTCTTTTTCATTACAGGAGGAGATTCAGGATTCTTTCTTGTAAATAATTCATGTTGGAATCAACTCCTTTCTATGACAGGGTGTAGACGGAAGGAAAGAGACATTCTGTTCCTAGTAATGCTTCATCTGCACCGGAGACCTCAAGACGTGGACGCTATTTTGATCTAACTTTTTTTTAATTTTTGTTTTCTTTTACTTTAACAGCCATAACATGAAGAAGAAAGAAAGAAAGAAAGAAAGAAAAGAAAGAAAGAAAGAAAGAAAGAAAGAAAAGAAAGAAGGAAAGACAAGAAGTGTAAAAGGGAAACTCATTAAGATTGAGACAGTCAAACAAGTGAGTATGCCTGGAATAAGCTTCTACTGATTTCCAGGGTTTTCCATCCTACAGCATGTAGGCAGAAGCCATGACAATTGCCAATTTTCAACAAACATCAGTTTCATAAACAATCAGTAAGTAAAAGCAGATTCTGGTTTCTCATCTGCACCGCCCACCGCCAAAAAAAAAAAAAAAAAAAAGATCCCTCTCCTGTGTGTATCTAAGGGATATTAGGTTATGCTGAATGGTAGAGAGATAAATAGTTGTCTTTTGAAAGAACAGGAGGCTTACCTTTCTTCGTGTCATGGGTCCCTCTGGCAGGGACAAATCTCAATTCAGGTTGAAGCCTCGTCCCAATTTGGCGTTGGGCCACCAAGGGAACAATACCCCAGAGTTTAGGGCACAGAAGCATTTGTGGTAAAGAACCGGGGCTTTCAAGGTCAGCAAAACCAACGTCATCTCAATCTCAGAGAATCTTGGAGAAACTTTAGTTTAACGTTATTAACACAACCAGTGAGTTCCCTCAAACTCCAACTCCCAATTTCCTCATCACTCTGTGTGAAGAGTACTGTAGCTCCATACTCTTCTTCCTTCTGAGTGTTGCTGTTGAAACAGTTTCTGCAGAAGTAGCCCCCATTCTTACCCAATCCCCACCACCATGCTAGGGCTAGGAATCGCCATTTTGCACAGGCAGATGGGAAAGAGAGGTATTTTCTGATCTGGAAATCAGAAGTCTATATTCTCCATTGTAGGAGGATGGAAAAGACTGGTTTTTAAAGGCTATAGCATATACCTGTTCATTAAATTTTATAGTATAGCTTAACAATCTTTTGAGATAACTGGGATTTCTGGGCTACACCAAGAACATAACCCCAGGTTTTTGTAATTTTGTGGGAAAAATAGTTTCTAACTCTTAAATAACCAAGTTACCCAACACAAAACAAACTTGTTCTGGAACTTGTTTGTATGCTGGCAACTCTTTACACTTGGTATGAAACAGTGTTTCTCAAATAATGACATGTAACTAGTTTATAATTAGAAATTTAATGGTTCTTAAGCAAAATTTCAGAAATAATAATACCTTTTATCAATGCTTCTCAAACTATGTATAGTGAAGGACAGGTTTTTCTTTGCCTTTGTGAAGTACAATGAAAATAATTACTAGAAATGAAGTAAAAAATCAGACATACAGAATACAAGCCCAAATCTTTTATTATTTGATTCAACAGACATAAAATTACTTTGTCAAATTTCTATAACAGTTTCTAAATGCTTGCTTTCAAATTTTCATATTTATCTCACCATGGACCAGAAACAAAGAGTTCACAGATTGAAAATGGTCTTTGGAGTACACTGTAAGTGGACTGCCTTTCATGATTGTACTTTTAACTCTTTAAAGTTCTTTGCCTGTATTATCATGTGTAATGTCCCCGGTAATTTGTGAAATAGGTGGCTCATGATTATTGTCATTTTATATACTATATGATCCCTCCGTATGCCTTTAATTTGTCTCCCTCTCCTTTCCTCTCTTTTAAGAGAGGGCAGATCTTTTAACACAAAAATACATCGAGGAGATGTTATAAAAGATAATTATTGTCAGTAAAAGAAAGAATTGCTTTATAGATGGCTCCACTCTATGGCTTCTCAGAGAGTAAAGGAGACCCCCTCCCCCAACCCAAGTCATTTTTTTGAGAATCCAGTATGTTAAAAAATGAAAAAATGCAATAACAGAAAAAAGGTTGTACACACATATTTTCATATTTATAGTTAACAAATTATCATTCTTCAGTAATTAGGTTGAACAATATGAACTTTTTTTTTTGGAAAGGTCAAAAACACCCCAATACAAAATACAATGTAATTTGTGGTCCAGTAATGGAACTCAAGTTTAAAAGGAATGATGTTTTTCAATGGGGTCAAGGTATTGCTATGACATATGGATAGACAAATTCTAAGATAATGTTGAAAGTCAACAAGATAGCCCACCTATCCCCAGTAGACCCAAGCCTATCCCTACAGAGGGCTGTAGGATTTGCTGCCTCTCTTCCAGGAGCAATAGGACCATGGAGGGAGAGGACAGAGGGGTAGAAAACACTGGGGGAGAAAAAAGTCAGGGAGACCAGAGACAAAAACTCCCACTCTCCTTCAGAAGCTGACTCTGTATGGCCTGAACTCTATGGAGAAAGTAAAGACACATTTCCCCCATTCTAGGAAATGTATGCATGTTTCTTGTCTACCTAACAGCAATAATGCTTCCAGTTATCTGTGAATGAACCATGCATGCAACCTCTTTCAGAGTATCAACCACAGCTACTTTTTGCTGAATATTTCCTATTCCACACACTTTATACCCACTGCTTCATTTAATCCCCATAAGAACCATTTGAATCAGATACTATTAGTATAGAGGTTATAGGGTTGTAGAGTTTAAGTATCTTGCACACTGGAAAATGGTGAAGCCAGAATCCAATACTAGAAAATTCATATCAAGACCCTATTTCCACCTTTGGTATATCTTTTATTAATTGTCAAATAAAAAAATTTCATGCCTCTGCTATTCCTGGTGAGAGAGATGAACCATCTGGTGGTGAGAGCTAGTAAAAAATGATCTCATGTCAACTGGCATGAGAGAGAGTCTTTAAAACTAGGTTGTCTTTATACTTTTCCTCTACCTGCTTGCATTACTTCACTTAACCTTGACTGAGTATGTTTTGCATCTCCAAGCCACTAGTGGGAATTCAAAATAAAAGAGGTGTGCATTCCTGCCCTGGTGGCCATCACAGTCTAGCAAGAGAGAGAGGTACCTGGACAAACATATGCAATGTTGTGTGTCAAGGATTAAGAACTTTGATCTTTATCCCATGAGTGATGTAAAGCCAGGAAGCCTTTAAGGAAGGGAGAAACATTTCTGTTTTACAAAGGTCACTCTGATGGCTGTGGGAAGGGGAGCTAGAGTGCACTTCCCAAGTCTGTTTGAGAGAAGAGACAGATGTGAACAAGGTAGAGGCAGTGGGGAGAGAGGAGAGGGAGCACATTTAAGGAATTTCAGAGGCCGGATGCATAGACACTGGGGACTCATGATGAGCTGGGGGAAAGGGAGAGGTGAAGACGGCCTGGGTTGTTCAAATGGGCAAATGGGAGTATACCAACAGGATGGCAAGGACAGAGAGGTTTGAAGAACACATCTGATATGCTCAAAGCCCCGTAGACACTTGCAGACAAGTTTCTGCTGCTCAGAAATGAGGTCTTGTCTGGACATGACGACCTGGGGATTATTAGCAGACAGTGCAGCAGGCTGAGTGGATCACCTTCAGGAAGGTGGAGGTTGGAGGCCAAAGTGAAGTAGTATGTTAAAGTCCTAAAAGCTTTATGGGTATCTGAGTAGCTAGCAGGTGGGTTACAAAGTGAGGAGTGGGATGGAAAATTAGGAATTGAACTGAACTTTAGGGAATTATCTTAATCGAGGGAAAATGGACACTGGCATAGATGTGGCTCTTTGCCTGCTCTCCTGAATCTGGGCATGGTTTTGAAGTTGGTCATACCATGGTGCTCCAGGCAGTCACTCCCTATCCATGGAAAATGAGACGTATTTGTTATCCCTTTATTGGGCCTGGGACCCACGTGGAAGATGAAGGTAGAGGGGGATTGGAAAGAAATTTCCAAAGTTATTTCTGCTTGGCATAAGATGGCCCTTCTCCTGACTTCTATACCTCCACTAGCAGGAGTTACAAGAGAGCTTGTTGCAAGAGTTATAACAGGAGTTACAAGAACATGCTTTGGCAAGACCTCTCTCTTCTTCGACACCCACTGCCTTACCTTCAATATCTATGTAATCTCATCAGACCCTTTAGCCCTATGTTATGTGGTCACTATGTGAAGCCCAACCTCTCTAGTCAATCTTTATCCTTCAGACTCTCTTCCCATTTGGCTGAGTACTTTCTCCCATCTCCCTATTCTCCCCTAACTTCCAAATCCCTTTTGTTGTGTGCTCTGGAACTCATAGTCCTAACAAAATCCCGTATATCCTTACTGTCTTCTCTAAGTATTCTCTTCAACTTTCCGCATTATCTTCTGACCCCCAACCAGGACACTTTCTCATCTGTCCTAGAAGGTTCTAGGTCCTGGCTCGCAATCACTCCCTTTTATACTACCTGTATTTAATTCTTGGTGATCTTAACATCCACATCTGTAACTTTTCCGGACCCAACTTCTGAGTTCCATGACCTTTTCTCCAATGGCCTTGTCTCTACCCTATTCTGCCACCCACTCCTATGGTTATGTTTTAAGACTTTGCCATTAACAATAATGACAATACCTCCAAAATTTCAACTTTAAGATTTTATTTTTACCACTACCACCTCTTATCTTTTTAGCTCATTCTCTCACTCCACTTTTGAAGATTTTTTGACCTTGTTTTAATGTCTTACTTATTCTTAAAAGCTATTGCCTCTCTCTCATACATACTATTTAATTTCATTTTTCATAGTGCTGATTCTTTATAAAGTGGCTTTTCACTGAAATAGCATATATATCAATTTAGAGTAGTAGTTCTAAGTTCTGAGGGTGACCATATACACTTACCTAGTAAGAACTAGCAAAAAACTATTCGGCTAATTTCTTCAAGTGGGCGAGTTTTCTGAAAAAAATGCATTATTTCTTCCTTTGAGTACCCTTTCCTCCCATTTATTCTTTGTTCTGGTGAACAGCTTTGACTCATCCAGGCTACAAAAGCAGTGCTAGGGATAGAACTGGGCCTGCCACAGAAAACAAAAGAAGAGTATCACAGCAGATTTCAGTTTTAGACGGGAGACTCAAAGCCCATTCAAGGAAACATCTGAGGAACAGAGTAAAGATTAGCCAGCCGACTATCAGACTCTGGGACTAGTCCTTGACATTGTCAGGGACACCGTGAACCTGACTGCACCTCGGGAAGACAAGACAGCATGTTAACAAGTGGAAGCTGAAGGCATCATTTGCTGGAGTCAGTGAAGGGACAGTGATGGGCAGTGGGAGAGGCCAAGAACTACCTTGGTAGGGGCAATGATATCCAGGCCAGGAAAATGCTCACTCCATTCATGGCCGCATTTCCAGGACCCCTATCTCCTCTGCTAATGAACTATGTGTGTACAGCACAGACAAGCAGGAGGAATTTAGATTTTATTTGATATGTATTATTTTAGGAGGATAGACATGAGAGTCTTAAGGAATTACTTTGGAGACCTATTTCATTTTCTGCCTTTCATCTATTATCCCTGCAAGCAGTGTTTTATTATTATTATCATTATTTCTTTTTAAGCCTGTACATTTTCTTTTCATTATTTTATATTTCACAGAAGCTGTGGAGTTTGAATTTGCCTGGGTGCCTTAGGGGAAAGATGAGCTCGCTTTTGGCATGGGAGTTAGGGGCAGGCCGATTTCTCATTTCAGACATAGAGAGTGGATATCATATATGTTGACTTAACATTTTATGACTTAAAAACATAATGGTTGTTTACATGAAGTATGATTAATGACAGAGATGGAGTGAAGGGTTACTAACTTAAGTCCTCTGTATTCTTGGTAAACTTCTGTTTCATTTCTAATAAACTTTTTTACATTCTTTGACACTAATATATGTATAAATCTTAAAAGAAAGTCTTGTGACTCTTCTATGTGAGAAGAAATCAAAGTTACTTGAGAGTTCTAAGAATGGAAAATGAAGCCAATTCTAGTAATGTGAGGCACTGCCTACAGGTCCATAAGCCACGAGAAATCATAGGAGTATGTCCAGGCGGGCCAGTGGAATAATGGAAAATTCCTAGTGGAGGAAATTGAACAGAACTGGACAGTGAGCAACACACAGGAGGAAGACCTAAAAGGGGACTGTGCGTGTGAGGGCCAGCAGCGTCTTCTCAGACAAGGCTGGTGATTGTCCAAGAGTACTGACTGCTGATCTCCTTCAAGCCCAAGGGCAGCTATGGAGCTCCCTGGGATTCACAGTTGTCCCCGGGGGCACCGCAGGGGATACAGAAAAACTCACCCAGGCAATCTCCTAAGTCTCTGGTACTCCACCTCCTGCCACCAAAGAAGGAAACAGCAAGAAAAAGTACTTTTTTCTCACTCTACCCAGTTTTCCTGCTTGCATGCATTTTGCATTTGTTTTAGATTTAAGTTGGCCTGGCCACAGACTGCACTGTTCTAGCCAGGGAAAAAAAAGGATTTCTCAAACTTTGAAAAAAACCATAATAGAAAATGTTATTGAGGAAAATTGGGGGTGAGCAAGTTGATAGATAAAATCAGTGATGGGTGGCCTGGATGGAGGGATAAAGAGGTAGATGATGAATCTCACAATTCGCAGGAATACATAGAACCATTC